AGCAAATAGACTAAATCATTCATTTAATACATAAACTGAAGGCTCAACAACTGAAAACTAGGTTCTCTGTCATTGACTTGGGAGCGATTTCATTTCAATGAGAGGCTATTCAAGATATAAACATAAATCCACAGGAATAAATAATTAATGGCCTAGCAATAAGACATTTGGGGGCAAAGTTTGGGCAGTTGGGTATTTCTAGGCCTCCTTTAAACAGACCTTCTATTTGATCTGTATATCAAGCTATCTCTGTTCATCACACTTATAGAAAGAGGCCAAATTTGATGATAAAGTACATTAATTTAAGGGAGAACCTGACATAAACTCAATGGTCTGAGGTTGTAATATATAACTTTCATCTTGTAAAATTCACAAAAGAAGCCAAACTTGTTAACACACCAACCATCTTAAAAGTATACAATATTGGCAATAAAAAGCTCAAAAATACAATAACTTTAAAAAGAAATAGTCTTTTGAAACATTGCTAGCCAGAGTGCTCTGCAGATGAAAAGCAAGTTGGCGTTCTCTTTATTACAATCACACACTCGCCCTCAGACATTTTTCTTTTGGATGGGCAGAAATGAGTTTTCTTTTTTTAAAAAAGCAGTTTTTCAAACAATGTGTTTTCTCGTGATAAGAGATCAGTTTTAATGCCTTCACAAAAGAGGACCTTCAAAATGCTATGTTACGGGGGAAAGCGGTAGGATTACAAATCACACTGATTTTAAAAGGACCCAAATTCTGTAAAATTGCTCCACCCCTTGCCAAGTTCTTTCAGGTAGAAGCCTTTTTTTTTTCCCAGGAAGATTTATGTTAGAGTTATTTGCTAGTTAATGCTGCTTTGTGAAGAAATAAAACCAGAAAGACCTCCGTTAAAATTTCTCAAAACTTAGCTCTCATCGTGGTTTTTTTTCTAATCATAGGGGTTAAGTCAAATTAATGTATCATCTTCCTAGCCCTCGCCTCTATAAAATACTCTTTAGAGAAGAATCAATTATGAAGCCAACATTATCTTATTTTGTTACTCTCTTCCCTCCTCAAATAAGTACTTTACTTTAGCCTCTTGATCTTAAAGTATTTTAGTAGGTATCTTCTAAAACGTTAAGAATTTAAGAAATATATTCAACTTCTTGCTTTGCAAAATTATCTGAAAATATTTTAGAATTATTCTATAATGTTCCAGATTTAAATTACAGAGTAATAATTTATGAAGGGTGTGCTCAGTGATACCTGGCCCTCGGCCTCTTGTCTAACAATACACTAGACAAGAATTATTACTCCATAATTCACACCCTGTCATGTCTTATTGCTTAATTAAAGCACAACCTTCCTCTACATGACAAGCAATTGGACTGTTAACATTATAGATGATTATCCGACCTAGCATATTTTATTTTTACAACGTACTCTTTTCAAGTACACAGGATGCTCATTTTAGGTACATCAGCCTCTGAGAACATGAAGAATCTATTTTTTTTTCCTTACCTTCTGGCTACTGAATAAATTTCCACAGCAAAAACATGGTCAAGATATTAGATATGAGGAATAAGTAATTTAGATATTGAAATAACAGTCCAATATCTGTAAAGCAAATTCATATATGAGTTTGATGGCCTCTGCATATAATATTTTCTTTCTTCTATTATTGATCAAGTGAACAGTAGGGATGATGATTAACTGTGTGCACTTGCAAAATAAATGTGAATAAAAAAAAGCATGTGTAGGACCTATATAAGAAACCTGAATACTCTACTAAAATACTCAGAAGAAGCAAATGATAAAACCCTGTGTGTGTGTGTGAATATTATAGAGCAAAAAAGTATTGCTTTTACTCAAATTAGTCTATGAATTTCAGTAAATTCAGGGCAAATTAAAAAATAGACAGCATGTTTGCATTAGTGACACTTAAGATTTTATGTTATGTGTAGGTATTCAAGCTCTGCTAGAAGAGTCTTCAAGGAGAAGGTAAAAAATGGTAAATAGCAACCATGTATATTTCATGTAATAAAACATATAGTAGTACAATAATTAAAATATTTGGAACCAGGAAAGACATGATGAGAAACACAAGTCTGAAAATAAGCACAGATGCCCATAGAAATCTGAATTATGACATTAGTAATTCTAGAAAAAAATAGAATAGAAACAACTAATTTGCTATTTGAAGAAAAAATCAATCTGAACCCTTGTCCCAATTCTTTACAGCAAAGCACATTTCCTGTTCACTCCTGTGGTCACAAGGTGAGAGATCTTTTTCACTATAAATAACTGAAATTTCTCCATTATCTCAATTTTAAGCATCATGTTTTTAACACCACCTCCTCTTCATTTTAGCCCTTCTATAGAAGGCCAAAACTCATTTTTACAACTGTGTTTACACTCTCACACCACTCTTCTGCCTCCCACCCACTCACTCACTTTCTTATTCTCTTTAAACTCCAAAATCTTATGCCATAATCACCCCCTCGCATACACTATCAATCACTTGCCCCACTTGAGTCTTTAAGCTCCTCACCTGGCAAAACTCCAGCTGCTAAACCAATTTGCTGTTTGCTTCGTACCTGTCCCTGCACAGCCCAAGGTGCTGAAGAAGCTCTGCAACACATGCAGGCTGGTCTTACCCTCCACCCACGGCCATTGACTTCAATGGCACGTTTGTGCTCCCAGCCGGACAACCCCCACTCTAGTCACTCTCCATCACACATTTTTCATGCATTTAATTGAGGTTTTATGGGACTTGTGTGGCATCCAGAGACAAGGGCAACCGGCACTCTCCTGCCATGTTCCTTCAAGTGTCTACTAAAATGGTATGATGACCATGCAATATAGCCATTGGAAGCTTGGATCTGACAGTCCATGTTCAACAAGAAAATAGAGTAAGAGCTTATTTTATTAACCTGAGTGATAGGCTATTATATTAATGTTCCCATTCGGAGCAGGGTGGCCTAGCTCCAACTCATGCTCCATCTTGGGATGGCTAATGGTTTTCTATCAAGCATCAACACTTTTATTACACCTCACATTTGATGGAAAAGCTGATACTGATTCAAGTACATTTTACTAATTTAAATGCAAAGGACCATCACCGTAGCATTGTTGAAATATGTTGAGTTTTCTGTGAACTGCATTAAAAATATGGGAATTCAAATGGAATTATCTGCCAATCATGAACATATGGTTTCTTTTTCTACTAATAAATATTTCTACAGATAGGAGACTAATGAAGCATACAGTGATACTTCCTTTTCGTGATTATTAAATACATAAATTCTCAAGAGATAGGAATAGATTTAGGTCATTTTCAAGCAAAATTTCATAGGAAACCCCTTCAATCACCACACCTTGCTGAGCACATACTGCATGACATGAACACATAATTACAAAAAGCCAAAATAAACACGTAGACTTTTGGAGGCACAGGTTTCATGCTCATTACCCCTAAATGTTTTAAACAGACAAAATCATATGATTTATGTTTCACTGGCCTTGATGTTTGGACACCATGAGGCATGAAATAAAAGATCTTAGAGGAAAGAAACTGTCCCGTTTTTATTTCCTTTCAGCCATAGCAAGGTAGTCTTGATGTTAAAAGGATTTCATATTTTTTACAAGATTATCAGCTCAGAGCTTTCTGATCTCTCTCAATTTTTCTGTAGTTCAGGTTTTCTTACAGGTAATAATAAAGCTATTTTGATAGACAAGTAGCCATCTCATGATTTTCTTTTAAAGTGGAGCTCAACATTTTTCACAATTTAAAACAGTAGGCACAGCCAAGAGCACCAAAGTGGAATGAGAAGCGAGGGAGCAACACACTTGCCCTCCTGCTTCAGGAATCCAGAGTCTTATAAGAATTCTTGGGGATCTTTGTTACTAGGATATGACTATCCCCCTAAATCTGGCCCTACTTGCTTTAATCACTTTTTCTCTACTTTTTCCAATACTGATATTTTGGGAATGTTTTGGTTCAGTACTTTATTATTTACTCTATTTACCATTTATTTTATTTAAAATTTAGTATTTCTATAATGCAATAATTTTTGCTTTGTTCTCACTATTTATTTTCCACTTCATTTTGATATACCACCTTTAAGCATTAGCTATTGTTATACTTAACAATTTTCTTTGGCCCAATTTTCTTTATGGTCGTTATCCTATTTCACTTGTCTTTTAAATTTTATATAAGATAACTGAAGTCCTATTCACATTTTTTTCTGAATGATATATAAATATATATATGTATAACATGTGGGATGTATTTTAAATGAATAATTTAATCTCCTAAAATTTCCATGTTTCTCATTATTTATTGAAAATAATTGAAACTGTATATATTTCATAATTGTTAAAGCATTTTTAAAAATCTATAAATTAAAAAATACTTTGATATAAATGAAGAATTTTAATAGGGTATATTTGTCTTCACTTTCAGCAAATAGCCCTGTGCCTGAATTTATTTTTGACTAATAAGCTACCCTAAATACATCAAGAGTTTCACTAGATTTTATGAAAGACTGAGCCTCTGAAATAAGAACCTACTTTCAGTATGATATAAAGGTAAAAGAAACATTTCAGTATAGTCTTCGGTTGAAGCTGGGGATGAGGTGTGTTTACAATTAGGTAAATTTCTGAAAACTAAACTCAAGGACCAAGATTGGATTTGATTTCAAACAATCCCTCCATAGCATATGCATTGGTTGCTATGCAACGCAATTTAATATCAACAAATGATGCCAAGTGATTTTTGCATACTGTAATTGGCTTGCAAGTTTTGCTGCTTGAAAATTGTGAAGAGAATGTGGTTATTTAAATTTAAATGGCTATGTTAAAATGCTAATTTTTATAATTAAAAAAAAAACTACAACACAAAACCTACATCTTAAAACTGAAGAAAAGAACTGCCTTCTGTGATAATAAATGTGCAACAGTCTGGAAAGTTTCTCTTCCTCCCTTTGGGAAAGCATAGAACATATTGAAATAACTTTTTATGCTGGTCTACTCACCTAGCTTCTCTGATGAGTTGGCTGCAGAAAGCCTATGTAGAGGCAGAGCTCAATTAGTGTAATTTATGTATCCTTGGACGTCAATCATTCCTGTTGAGAGGTGGGACTCATAAGCTCTCAGTGCATTAATTAAGAGCTCATCTCAGCAGAGCCATCTTTCTACCTAAGGACTAAAAAGAAAGTTTTAATTAGATTTTTAAAAGCAAGTATGTCATATATGAAAGCAAGTATCATTCTTCAGTTGGTATGTGAGGCAACAACTGGAAGGGAATATTCCAAACAATACAAAGGGCACCTGTTTTCAATCATGTGTAACATGATACAGAAGGGGGGTAAGCATCAATCTCCAACATTGGGTTCAGCCCGTGGACAGTCACTTCATGGAAATAACTGAAGTTTTGACTATGTTGTTTCACTGCCAACATAATTATTGGACCCCTGTCTAATTATTGATGCAGAGCCGGTGCTGATCATGTGCAATTACAACGATGAGGACAGAGAGTATTTTTCTCTGATGGTTTAGCTTTTTGTTCCAGGCTAACTTCTCACTGAATATGCAATGGGCAATACAATGCACAATGCAAGTTCAGCAAAAGAGAATGGGGGAACTTGCACAACACATCAATTTCATTGGTTCAGTGATGGAGTGAGTGTGCCGTTGCTGGCTAACCTAAACACATAGGGACTCGAGAGAGGTAAAAACTAGCGAGGCTCACTGGTGTCAGCTGCCTGAGAGAGGCTGTTGTCTTGGAATGGCTTATGTGAGGCCATCAAACATACTCCTTAGGGCTCACTTGGGAAATAATAGATACATTATTGATTAAAATATTTATAAATTAAGGGAGGGAAACAAATTTTAAAAGCTAGTTCAGATTCTAGAAGGGAAATATATCTACTAATAGCTATTAACCCCTCCCCCTCCATAATTAGTGGGGGGGGCAGTCAGAATGTAAGCTTGGGAGAGCAAAAACAAACATATGCCAATGTCAAGGAAAAAGCAAAGAGTGAAAACAAAAGGAAAAAAAAAAACACTGAACCACAGAAATAGTGCAGGAAGTCACAGAAATAATGGATAAAGTGCCACCCTGAGATAGTCTCAAAAAATTAGCACTGGAAAAAGTAGGGGTGCAATATTTCTGCTTTCAGGAAGATTGTAGACCATGGGGAAACAGAAAGGCAAGCATAGAGTATGGAATGATGTGATGATATGATAATTACAAGGTTGTTTTTAAGGCATGGCTGGCAAAATAGGCAGATGCGGCAGGAAAGAGGGAAAACTCTGTTCCCGGCTCAACAACAGCAAACACGTGGCCCAGGCGTTCTCACTGCTATTATACTTCATTTTGCTTTTCGAAGGGAGGGAGTTGAGGAAATTCAGCAACTGCATACACCGTAAATTTAGCAGCTAACTAGCCTACGTGACACGTACTGAATAACAGCAACCAACGTGCCACAAGAAACTATAGATTTTACAGGTGTATGGTTTGTGCTGTATGTTTCTAAGTGATAGAAGACTATGAAACATTACAATATAGACAATTCGTCAGAAAATAATGCTAGGAAATTGTAACCCATCATTTCTATTAATGTTCATAAAGATACTTTATATTCCTTTCTCTGCTCTCCCCCCTCACATCCTTCCCCAGCTATTTTGCCTCATTTGTTGTGCTGTATAATGTTTATTGCACAATACAGAGTAGTACTCCCCAGATACAACTTGGCAATTGTGCTGGTTTCACCAATCTTGTGTGCCTGATACATTTATGTACCACAACATCCTGCCTTTGAGCAACAGCATCGTGTCCTTCTATGTGTCTTTTTATTTTCACTTAAGCAGGGTTAATATAAAGGCAAATCACCTCTCGGGCATGCTGGACTCATGGATGACTCCATGGTAATATTAATACAGTTTGTGTTTTATGATTAGGTGTAATTTGTCTGCACCAGGAAACTATTTGTTTTCCAAGCAATGTTTAAATTCTCTCCAGGACAGGCTGACACCAGGGGTGTTAAACTTAACAGATATTCAGTGCAGTTACTGAAATACAGTGCGTGTCAGTCTTCTCAGGGGATCTCAGCCTTATCTTTTTTGTGATCTTGTGGCTCCTTCAGTGGCATGAACCACAGCCTCTCCATTCTACACCGCCCCCCCTTGGTTCCTATGGGCCATGTTTCTTAAGAGCATGACTGGAGGAATAGACTTCAGTAGGCAGTACAGTCTTGTACTTTTAGCCAAATACATAAATTTTCTCAGTGCTTAATTTATAGACTCAAAAGAACCCACCTTTAGGATGTTGGGGTAGATGCCTTTTCCGGCATGAAAATTTCCGTTTTTCAATATGAAAATTTCAAACTCATTGGAACCTTTTGATCAGCTAATGCAGAAAGTCAGTTCAGATGATAACTAGAAAGACATCATCATCACATCATCAAAAGACTAGGCTTTGTGTTGACTGCCTCTGAGGTCGAGTGCAATGGAGTCATGGCTTTCCAAGAAAGACACCTTGGTGTGTGTTTGGAGAACATCTGCTTTAGGAAAACTCATGGATTCATATTCTGCCTGACCCCTACTACAGCAAACCACATTGTTTTTCAAAGATTCTCAGTGTTTGTGACTCCACCAAACCCTTGACTTAGCCCAAGACTTTCATCCCAATCAATTTCATCACAGAAATTTATTCTGTGCTACCAGTTACCTCCTTGGATTCTTTCCCTTTCAGCAATCACCATGCAGGTGTGGGGCAAGAAGGCAGATGACATCTCTTCTTCCCCTAAAGTGGTCCCAATACTTGGCAACCTGGCAGGGGTCACTGTTAGATATCAATTGGAGGAGATGGGATTGATAAAAAAGTGAGCACTGGTAGGAGCATGATGGAGGTTCAATTTGATTCAATTCCGATATTAGTTCATTTATTATTTAAGAATAGTCTTGTTGGAGTGAGTGTATTTTTTTCAAGGTATCTGAAGCTACATGTCTCAGGAAAACAAAGACTGAGGGAACATCCACTTATAAAATAGATTTTATGAGGTGGACCAGTAAATACTTTTGAACATCCTGAAATTCATTCAGTGAAATCAGTCAAACTAGTACATATTAATTTGTCACCTTTTCAACACTCATGAGACTTGTATCCAAAGGCAACTCAAATGACCCAGTTCCTATGTCGCCTCCTTACTGGCGATTTCACTGTAAAAGAGCAGCTCTTTTGTCTGACCTCTTCACTACTTTTTGAGAAGCTATAATAGACGGAAGAGAAATTTCTTTTTAGAATGATTGTGAGAAAAGATAGACATTAATTTAGAACTTTGGGTTCAGGGCCTCCCCTGGTGGCGCAGGCGGTTGACCACCATGCTATGAAGCTGTCCCCAGCCTGTGCAGTGCTGGTTTGATCCCGGCCAGCCGGCGAGGGTCCCACATGGCGCGGCAGACCTCTCCTGTCTTTCCCGCTGCTTCCCTCAGCAGTGTATTTTGTCACTCTGCCTGTTCTATGCCAAGCTCTGTCTCTGGTGAATCCGCTCACCCTCCCGCGCATCTGGCCTGTACCCTGGTTCTTGTATAAATAAATAAATAAATCTTAAAAAAAAGAACTTTGGGTTCAAAAACATCTAATGTTAGAAGCAAAATCTGAAAATTTCATCAGGTTTTCAATGACAAAATACCAACTTTGAGTTTGTTTTACCATTGAGATCGGCAATTGTGAAATGCACTGTCAGGGACTTCCTTATTTCTATTAATCAGATTTTTATATAAAAACTTAACTAATTCAGTCTAGCAATGGCAAGGAAAAACAAACCAAGTCTGGTGTCAGAATATGTTGGCTTGGGGAATGGGACTAAATTAGTGTTCTGAGAAATCTACTTGTTTAGAATTTTTTCCCTAAGCCATAGAAGAGAGATGTCTGGATGGGTTATCAGTCTTTTATCTTGACATTTTATTATTTAGTTTTAATGCTGGAATAGTTTATTGTACATGAGCCTAGAGGTCTTCTTGCTTTGATATGTTTATAAGACAGAACATAAATAAATGATGATTTTGTCCAGCATCGATGTTAAGATTGTAAATTTTATCTCTTAAAACTTGTCTCAATTCTGACTGAGGAAAATGATTAATTTTTACTACTTTCTTGACATCTGAATTACTGGGGGAGAACAATTTCAGGTTTTATGGGCCCTAGGTTATGTAAGTAATATCAACTAATATCTACTTACAAACAAATGTTTCAAATGCCAAATTGTTTTCTCATAACTCTTCTATAAGTTTAATGCCTGTTTAATATCAGAGTGCAGTAATTAATGGACTCTGTTAAGATCATGTTCTAATGTTATATTTGAATTAATCAACCCCTCATAATAAAACGTTTGGCAGTTACTGGAGCTACTTGATCACACAGGTGAAGCCACAGTGGCAGAAAACAGTAGGGGAATCCATATTTATTTATTTACTTTTTTAAGCAATTTTTTATTTTACCTATCTTGCTCTTTGCATTTTCAGGTAGACTCGCTAGCAGGCATATTAATATACATTATCCACATGTGTTAACTGCATTCTGGTTAATTTAAATGATTTTCTTTTAAAGAAGATTGAGGGTGGAAAATTTTTAATATTCAAAAATATTCAAAATTTCCAAATAATCTTGTAAATGTCGTGACATTTAGAAATTTCACTTTTATCAGGCCATTTCTTTAAAGTTCCTATAGAATCAGACAAAGGATATTTTTAAAGAGTTTTACAGTTATTTCATTTCTACATTCTACCAACACTTAAAGCTTATATCTCCCATCCCCTTATACCTTCTGACTCAAAGTGAGGTGAAAAACAGAAGAGATTATTTTTCAGGAATCTGGATAATCTTGAGATTTAGGGTCCTATATAACCAGTTATATTTCATTTTAAATAGAAATCACTTTGAGAATGGCCTTCTGTAGTCAACATTGCTTAAATAACAAATCTGTAAATGCATATACACATATATGTATATGCTTAATGCCAAGTACAAAATCTTCAACTTCTTCCACTGTTAATATTAGCAAATGCAGTTGTGATGTAGGGCGGATGTAGAAGGAGACAAATTTTTATTGAACTCCTTAGATAATATGTTGCATTCCAGGGCTAAAATAATTAGTACACCAGATGATGACCCGGCCATCATTTTAATAGATCTGAAGATGG